AATGAAGTTAGAAAACTTCGGTTCAGAAACAGTACACTACTCCCTCCTGTTTAATCTTTCGGTGATGACAATATGGGGTTTCTTATCCGCATTGGAAAATTATGAATTCAGCAGTCCAAAATAACAGTGTGACAAACCCCAAGTGAATATTCTATGGGTTCTGAGATCACGCAAAACTACCTCCTTTTCGGGTACCCCACGGAAACAATCCCGCTTTGTGGGCAACCGAGGTTTGTCAACCAACTGTACGCTTCCAGTAATGTGCAAAACCCAGTCAAACATAGCGTACCTGCATTACCTTTGTCCCCTCATTTGCCTTCACCTCCTGATATTAATATTAGGCTTCCCACAACTTTCTCAGCCTCCCATTCTGCGACCATCGCCAGCGATCCAAGTCATCTAATCCCCGTTCGTAGTCTTCTAAGACATCCCTATCGATTCCATACTGGTGCTTTCAACATCCAAACCATGTGTAAAATCGGATAGCAGGCATCACTTGCCACAGCTCTGCATTGCATGTCGTGTCTCTGAGACACGTATACAGACAAGAGCCGAATATGATTACTAAATTGACCTCACCTGGCAACTGTAAGCAATCCTAGGCTCCCAGGACCCCACCATCGATTTCATGTGAGAGCTTTCAACGTCCGAACTCTGTGCCAATTCAGACAGCAAGCACCGCTGGCCAAAACTCTAGGGTATTTACATATCGATATGTGCTGTGTTTCTGAAATATGTATGCAGATAGGACCCAAGTGTGGCTATTAATTTGACCTCACTTTGCCATTGAAGCGGATATTCAAGATTCACTTTAAGAGTATTCCGAGAATTAATGGCACGCTGCAGTAAACATAGCATTGAGTTGTAAGGCGGGTCTCGACTGAAAAACAGTGAACAGCTGTCTACGTGCTATTCAAGTGAGTCGATCTACAAGAACTAGGAAGGATCAGACCGACAGATGCCTATTCGTAATTTCGGCCTACGCAAACACGGACTGCAGTTCGGATGATGCAAAGGACGAATTCTATGAAAACCTGTCAACCTTAATCCAGAAAGCAAAAGTTCAGATGTAATCACAATGGCAGGTGACTTCATCACTCAAGTAGGGCAGGTGAGTCAATCGGAAAGACATCCTATGCCAACGAACCGACAACGGTGATTGTATGTTGCAATTCCGCTTCGACAATCACTTCTTTCTGGCCAGCACTAACTTTAGGCATAAAGAGATACACTGTCTCTCATAACGTACTTCAGAGCAAAGACGAACACAGACAGATCATATTGATATCAATCCTCTTTGAAGAAGATCGGTGGGGGATCGCTGCCCTTTCTGGAGTACCGATTTAAATTCCCATCAAGCGATAGTACGGGCTCGTCAATGCTTGTGCCTTTCTATTCGCAGAAAGAGGCAGTGGGGGCCACCTGAGCCTGATTAAGAGGTGAGGACGCATTAGGAGTCAGCAAAGAAACTATCTGGAGCAATAGCAATGATCATCCTGAGATTTCGGTGATATGAAGTCTGCTCTAGAAACAGCGGCAGAGTTGGTGACCAAAGTAAAAAAGTTCGCAGAAGTCATCGAATTTCCACATCATCCGAACTGACTGACACGAGAAAATTGATTGCAGTAGGCTCTAAGGAGAGTGAAGAGAGGAAGCAACTGGAACGAAAGTTGACCAAATCTTCGCAATGATGAACGATGCAGACACATATATGGAGAACGCACCTACGCTGGCTAACGCATGGAAACTGTTTATGCTTGCTGAGGATAAAGGTAAGAAGAAAAAGACAGCGAGTGGAATAATCACGGAAAACGATGGACACTGATAACCTCCAAGGACAAGCAGTCAGGAAATTGAGTAAAACACTTCGAAGCACAGTTCCTGGTCCACAACAGCGTTCCAGTTGCTCAACATCCAGCCTGAACCTGAATGCGACATAGGTGCCCATCATTCAACTCTCCTTGAAGTGGAGAAGACTGCATTGGACCTGAAACGGTGTGAAGCGGCAGCACCTAATAGTTTGCCACCCAAAGTTTTCTAGGATGGAAGTAGGGAATTGCTGATAAGAGTGACGGCGGTAATATATGGGAATCTAAGGGAGTGAGTTTTATTACAACTCGTTATTAATTGAATAACAGTCAGAGTTAGTCATAGGTAGTTATCACTACTGAGGTTTTGCTGCTTTTTTCGTTTAAGGTCTTAATATGAACGTGAGTTGGACCTGGTGTGTACCTATTTACTTTGAATATAGCATCAAACAACTTTTTTTGACCCTCGCAACCATTGATAACCACTTTTTACGTCAGTACTGTGATGGGTCAGATTTTGAAGTGATTTTTATTACAACTCGTTATTAATTGAATAACAGTCAGAGTTAGTCATAGGTAGTTATCACCACTGAGAAAGTCTTGCATACGTCAAAACATTTGTCTGATATCGTCTACTTTTTCGTTGAATATCTTAGTGGTTTTGAATATTTTCGAGAACTACGTTGGTGAACGATATCTGCTGGCTTTTTATAAAGAAGATTAGTGAGTAGGTACATAACAGCTTGGTAACTTAGTCGATCTTAGGTTTCAAAGTAGTGTGGAGGATATAACCCTTACATCAATGTCTACTTTCATGTTTTCATGCGATGAGAAGCTTATTGCAGAGGGTTTTCTAGTATCGGTATATATTATTGAAGGTGCAAACCACTTGCACATCAGAAGTCTTCTCTATACAAACCAAGTTGGTTTGCTCACTCGACGACTGTCTCACTCATTTGGAGCTGAACCGATGTACGTGGATTGATTGGGATCAGAGGTTTTCCACTTTTATTTTCACATTGACAATCGGAAATCTAGGCTCATTAAAGATACCAACAAGAATTGAGTGATGGTTAGTGAGACCATCACGGAGAAGGATGGGATACTGATAACCTCCAAGGACAAGTAGTCAGAAGATTGATTAGAACACTTCGAAGCACAGTTCCTGGTCCACAACAATGCTCCAGTTGCTCAATATCCAGCATGAACCTGAATGCGACATAGGTGCCCGTCCTTCAACTCTCCTTGAAGTGGAGAAGACTGTGTTGGGCCTGAAACGGTGTGAAGCGGCAGCACCTAATAGTTTGCCACCCAAAGTTTTCTAGGATGGAAGTAGGGAATTGCTGATTACAGTGTAGGGGGTAGTAGGTAGTGTATGGGAATCTAAGGTAGTGCTGTCAGACTGGTCCACCTCACTCATCATTCCAACCTATAAGACGGGTGAGAAATCTTCCTGTGACAATCATAGGCGAACTATTTTGACTAATACTGTATCCAAGATCCTAGGATCCATGGTTATCTGACACTTAACTGAAGCTCGACAACAGTAAACTCGATAAAACTAGGTAGGTAGGTTTCAAACCTAGACTTGGGTGCATCGATCAGTTTTTCACCCTCCCTCAGGTTCTGGAACACAGACATGCTTACTGGCTAATAGCCTGACCTGAAGGCAGCATTTGACTCTGTCGACCGTGAGGTGTTGTGGCAGTGTCTGACTGTGAATGGAGTACTGAACAAGTATATAATGCTTATCAAAGCTCTCTACTGGAACTCGCAGAGTCGTGTCAGGGCTTATGGAAAATTCCTATGTGAATTGACAATAACTATGAGTGTCTGACATGGGATGCCCACGGTCACCGTTTCTATCTAACTTCGTTATAGACGTACTAATAGACATGACGTTAGGTACGTCTCACTTCACAGGAATCGGTCTACTTTCAGCAGTTCATCTGGCTGACATGGAGTGTACAGATGACATTGTCCTTCTAGTTGGAGACGTTAGCAAGATGAAGGGTCTTCCCGACACCTTCAGGAGAAATCTGAGTATGTTTGGCATGTGTTTTGCACCTGTTGGATGTGAAATGATACTCGAGGACTGGTCTGCAACTACTAACTGTTTATTGAAAGAAAGTGGTGTGGTTGAATGTGTCGACCACTTCACTTACTTGAGGAGCTGCATCAGCCCGAACGGGGTGACAATTTCAACTTGGATACAGAAGTCCCGTTCGGTATTTTCCAACTTGTATTATCTGGGGCGCCGGCCGGTGATATATCAGACTATCTGTCGAAGGACGAGTATACTGCGCTGCAGTTCGTTCTGTCCTGCCATACGGCTGTGAGACATGATCATTAGACGTAAGAGACGTGAAGCAATTACAGGGTTTTGACCACATGTTTTCGCAGCATTGCTCGTATTTGGTAGAATCATGGTTTGACCACTGACGAAGTGAGACGAAGAGTACCAGGCAAGCTGACCGACGAGGTTGGGAAATTTAGTCGACTGAGATGGTTTGGACATGTAATGCGAGCACCTAGTCACCGACTACCTCGACGTGTTGTGTAAGGGGAAGCTGGATTATGTTGCGAAAAAGTTCAGGGTGGCCAGACGTGTCACCAGTCCATGAAACCTCTTACCGTTGGTCTGAGTAGGGTAAGGTGATGCAGACTGCCTTGGTTGGTGTCCCGAAGACGAAAAGAACGTCGTTCACGGCTCTTGATGACATGGCTCAAAATCGGTCATAATGGTGCAGATGTATCCACCCACTGACATCTAAAGCTTGAATATTCACACTTACCGTCATCTTCAGATTCCTTATTGTCTCACACAACTTCGCATACCTTGAAATTATTGTTATTCTATCCACTTGTTCTTTTGTGCACTACTGTGAAGTCTGGCAGCTTGAGTCGATGCATCTGTGTGTGAGGTTCTACGCTGATTTTGTCAGTTAGTCATTTACCACTCTCAACATGGAATGAGAATCTTGCTACGTTTCTTGATCACTAGGATTCTAGGTTTATTTGAAAAGTCCACAAGGTTCCGTCCACTCAACCCAAGTAGACAGCGACACCAAATACAACGCATTCTATCTCATGGAATGCAAATGCAAACATGTCATCCACTAGATTATACTATGACAACATTGAACATCTCCTGTGGAAATAATGTCTTGGGATTTGGAAACCACTACCAACTGATTTGCATATACTAGAAAATTAATGCTTTACTTGTTCAATAGGAAGTATCAAATGAATAAGACCGCATCAAAAATGTAGTTGAATAATTGCATGAAAAAGAATGAGATTTTTCATATTTCAAACAATTTGCAAAAGAATACGCAACATACTGAATCATGTATATAAATATAGATAACAAAGATCCTTATCCACAAAGAAAAATAAAATAACCCAAAGAATAAAAGACAGGTGAACTATTTAAAAATGACGATTCATGTCTGTTCAATCTTTTCCTTCCACAAGAAATCATCGCATATATAAATACTTCAGCATACTATTCGAGTTCAAAATGTTTTTTAAGGGATTATGAAAACTGGTATTGTAGTTAGAAAAAACGCGTGGATGTTAACAAACCGCAGACTACATATAATTGCTCAACGAAAGAGTATCAAAAAAATCACACCACAGTGAATGCAAGCCAAAGGGAATGCAGATACATACAAGCACGTATGTAGAAAAAAGTTAAAACAGAAATTCAAATTATGCAGGAGATAAAAAAGCATAACTAGTGTGTTAAAACAAAAACACACTTGCATACATGTACAATGGGTTGAGCAAATTTACTCAAGACTTTAGATAGAGAAGAACACAAGGTAATTATTGGTAAGAGGAAAAACAATTCCAAATTCTGAAGCTAGACTACAACAACAACAATAAAATCAGTAAGACTACATGTAATCAAAAATGAAACTGGAAGGAGTAACACTATGACTTAGGTAATTCTTTAAAGCGCGATTAAATAGACAGTAGTAAGACCTGACATTAACGTGAAATATAATACACAAAAAGGTTGGATAAAAATCTGCATAGTGGGGTTACATTCGAAAAACGTTATGATGTTGGTGACAACGAGAAAAGCAAATGGTTCATAGATAAATCAGGTTTTAATTGAGAAATTATTTCGTTTAATATGCATACACTATGTTTTTCACTGGTCTGACTACTACTCATAAGCATCATATGGATACACAGAAACTTGTTGATAACGTGGTTGTGAATTTCGCGCACTAGATCCATTGGTCTGGCTTTTTGCTATAACAGAGGTGTAAATAAAAAGGAATTGTATGATTTTAAACGGATGGGATCACATCTCGAAACAAAAGTTCGAAAGGAAAACTCCACAGCATTTTAAAAAAATTCAAGTTTTTATCTGCAAAATATATTTTGTTCACAGCTTTGTTATCCATCACCTTCAATAATCAACATTCATGCATTCTACATTAGTCACAAGATCCAACTTGTACGATAACTGCTCCACACGATCCTATACAGTACTTACCTAAAGGCTGACTATTGAAACAGTCAAGTAGTTTCCTTCACCTGAAAACTTTTACCTTCACTTGATTTCGTTGTGATTTTCAATAGGCCATATTGATGCCTGCGGTAACAAACATCTTTATCACTAAAATCACAAATGGTAGTCAAACATTTCAGCCATCTTTGAATGCTTACAGTTCCTTATATGTAGAACAATAGGTCATAAACACGTCAGTTTGTGTACTGGGACAAAAGTATAAATCAAGTTAGTCAGCATGCAAAATAATAACACAATTGTATATGTAATTTACTCACACCAATCACTGACAACTTGATGAATAAGAGGAAGCTATCGAAGAAAGGGGTAGCGTTCAAACAACTCTCAAACACAACAAACTGGCAGGTATAACTCACATGGATTAATTCGAGATCAAACTTGAAATTTAAGGTCAAACGTCTGAGATGCAAGATATATTTTGGAAGTTGAAAAAACTCGAATATTGTTATACCAAAGTAGGACTATTACCGCAATTCCCAGTCGATTCACTGGCCAGTGGACAAAAGGGCTAACTAAATAGGCATGTAACCGAAGTGATTCACATACTGAAAAGTCAGTTTGAATTTAAAAAATTCACATTTACATCACCAATGGAATACTAAAACAATACAATCAACTTTATTTTAAGAAAAGCCTTTACACTGCTTTCAGTGAAAAGAGAAATAAGTCACAACTGCGATATTTCGTTGAGAGTAAAAGCATATTCTGCCACAAAAGTGGACTGCGTTCAGGTAATGTTGCACTAACAGAATACTTACGCAACAGGTTGAAAAGGTGTAAATAATGCAAGTTTGGGCGCATTGAAAAATCCCCCTGGTGATGACAGTACAGTCTCAATCAATATAACATTTGAAATGATAGTTCATAAACAATGTGTTGTTTATCAGCTGTAACAACCGAAGAATCTAATTTTCTATTATCTAGCAATGATTACTCAATAGTCAAAAAACAGGTGGTGATGAATAAAAAGATATCGCTTTCTGCTTTCAATACAGATTTTAGAACAGGTTTCAAGATCATAACAGCTCATGTAACAAGAGAATCAGAAATACAAAATGCATCTCCATGACAAAAAACTAAAGTCTCACGGAACTGTTACTCTATGATATAAGAAGCTATTTGTATTGATCAAATGGGTCACAGTCAGTTGCCATTTCATGTACTGCCAGGACAGTGGCATACAGGTCCACATCGGTCATATTCCACAATCTATCATAACAATTTAAAAGTGGTCACAAAGTTTGAGTGATATTGGGGTATTGAATAATCATTGCTAAATAGTAGAAAATTAGATTCTTAGGTTGTTACAGCTGATAAACAACACATTATTTATGAACTATCATTTCAAATGTTATATTGATTGAGACTGTACTGTCATCACCAGGGGGATTTTTCAATGCGCCCAAACTTGCATTATTTACACCTTTTCAACCTGTTGCGTAAGTATTCTGTTAGTGCAACATTACCTGAAAGCAGTCCATTTTTGTGGCAGAATATGCTTTTACTATCAACGGAATACCGTTCCATATTGTTCCCAGTTGTGATGTATTTCTCTGTTCATGGGAAACCATGAAATTAAATGGATCCCTTCTGTTGTTCTCTCTCCATTTAATTTTGTGAAAGGAAAGAATTGTATGAAAGTGTGACTTTTTCAGCAAACAGGTGGTATCAGTAGCCGTTCTGAAATGCCGTAAGTTTGATCACAGACGAACATAACATCTTCTGTAAGCTGCACAACGAACATCAAAACTATCCCCCATCCCTCATGGAGCTGCGCTGAAAGATGAAGTCGACATCGATGTTTAGAATGTAATACAGCTAGCAAAAAATGAACAATATGCCGTGTCCATTTACCACTATATTACAACACCAATAACATCAAGAATGAGAATATTGTAATACTCTACTGAGGAATTATGTATGTATCTTGAGATATATTCTGTAAGTCATACAGTCACTGACTTCATAAAAGCGAAACTTGGATATCAAAATTAGCTCCGACAGTGAAAGAGAAAATACCACATATTACAGCCGAAGTACATATTCCCCCTAGTTGATTTTGACTGATATTCGGTAGAACGATGCCGTGACATCACGCTGTATCCAGATCCAGAAACCGAAATCCACTCAGTAATCTTGTGCACTCTCACGCAGAAGATAATGAGCCACACCTATTATGTGACAGCTAACGATGCTGTCGCCGCCCAAATCTCGTCCGGTCAAGTTGGGTTCGTGACTCATAGGTCGGAAAGCAACAGCCTAGCTCAATGAGCAACAGCCCCCATAATCCAGAAACCCTTTAACCACAATCGATGGAAGTGAGGCAGGTGGATTTAATGAACCAAAGTTGAATAAATTCTAAACTTTATTTCTACGATTTCATGCGTGTTTTTATTTTTGTTCAGCTTGTATTTTGCGTGTTTCAAATAAAATTGGTCAATGGAAAACACCATTTCGAAATAAACTGAAGGATGAATAAAACCAAAAGTCAACAAGTACCTTTACTAACACATATAATCATTAAATCACTCAAGTTGGTGCTATATGAAATAAGCCAACAGACTTCTGATTTTGATGATTTAAAAGTATGCATGACTTGATGTGGTTTAGCTTTCTTTCAAACAAATTTGTACTATATGAGAGATGCTTAAGGAACACTTAATCGCCATGGTCTACGCTACACTGAGAAAATTAAATGCATACACTAGACGTTCAGGTCCTAAAATACTGGAAACTGAGATAACCAAAGCAAGTGAGAGATGGGTTTTAAAAATCACCATGCTATAAAAAAACTTGGCGAACAATAAGTTGGGCAAAACACAACCTGAAAAAAGAACAAATGACGCGTAAGCCTTTGCATTATAACAAAAATGAGGTAACAAGTACCTGGGCATTATATGTTAATACAACTAAACAACACACACAAGTGTAGTGAAAAAGCGTATCACACGCACGGGTTTGGTAGGCAAACAACAAGCAGCTAGTGTAGTTAGCTGGTCAATTGAAAGTAGAATAGGAGAGCTGTGGAAAAATAGATCAGCGGTTGAGTGAGTGTACAGCAGCAGACACCAAAACTAAATTAAAAGAAGTTAAATTACGAATTTCCGGGAAACTGTGAAGTCTACCTTTTAGGCCCCTGGGTTCGGAACAGCCACATAACCTGTACAGGTGATAAAAAATGCAAACGACTTCATAATTATTTCGAGTAATTTCAATAAAGAACTAGTTACCAGTGCATAAGCCACTAAAGGTAAACTAGGTGAACAAAAAGCGATAGTGAAATAAAATGATGTGCGCAAAATTAAGAAGTGAAACAGTAAGAGGAGCGCATACAAATAAAATTAAGATTACACGGATAAAACCTAAATATATCATGAATTTTCCGCGTTATTAATTCTGATGAAAAAGTGAGCAGAATTTCGTCGCTGCCTAGAAGACTAGAGTACTCATACACACGAAATGTACACTTCTTGTGGGAAAGATCCAGAAAACTATTTTAAGGAAATGCAGTCAAAACAGATATGATAAGATAAATCACATCGCTGATTTGCCAATAACAGTATTTGTTCCCAGGTAACTTGTCAGTGTGGGATAATGAAAACACGCAACTAGGATTGTGCATACTCTAGTTATTTCACTGCTTTCCACACTCAGGAGTTTTCGGTAGACCTTTCGTCATTATCCTTTGTGCTAATCTCCTAAGAAAGCTCAAAAAGCAACGAAACTACCAGAACAACGCTAAGTACAAACAATTCAATGTATCATAATTATAAGATGTAGTAAAGACTTAAATAATGTATCAGGGATAAACACATTCATTCAATAACAAAGTGCTAAAACAGAAATTTTCCAATCATTTCCAAAATTAACTTGGTCTACAAAAAAGGGAGTATATTCAGAATTAAAAAGTCTGCGTGAACTATATGAAATCGCACCAACGAAACCTCATAGATATAATTGATAATCTTGGCAAAAAGAGAGCGCTTTAAACGTCGAATGATCCGTAGAGAGGTGAAACACTCATAAAAAAATAATGTTTCATCGTAAGTTTGATGGAATAATATGGAAGGCATTTTATACTGATAAAGCTTATAAATGATCACAACTCATGAAGATTGACACATGTTACGTGAGAAACTTATATTTACAGTTTCCAGGATACCGAAATGGATACATTAAGACTCAAGACTGTATGATTTTATATTGGAATCGGTGAATCTTATAGGTATTTAGGCCTCTCAAATTATAAAATGTCCATTCATATATTTTGTATCTTTCAAGATGACCATGATTTGATTGAAACACTTCGATTTCTTCTCCTTGTTCTCCCAAAGATAGCACTGTCAAAAAAGGCATTTTAGGGAAAGGCTCACGACACTTCTGTCTGCCAGGTAAAGAGGATCAAAAGTGCATACACTATAAGACTGTTTTACAGTCTTTAACTCGATAAGAAATATTTTATGCCTTATTAAGAATTTTATTTAAAATTTACCATCAAGTGAAAGTGACATTTTATGAGCACGTATCATTTGACTTAACGTGTGAACCTTACTACTCATAATAACAGCAATCGAGGAAGGTAGTAAACGAAGTCAATTGACAAAGGAAATTGCTTGGATCACAGTCACAATTTTGATCACAAAATTTCAGATCCTACTAGGTCAGTAATAAATGGACTGAATAAATATGGGACAAATCACCTTACTGTGCAATCGTAAACTGTTTAAGATATGACAGTATATACACTGTTACGAAATATTGATCACAAAAATATTGCAACAAGCATTTTCTACAAAAGATATATATGATACTTTTTAATGAGTCTAGAAATTTCGAAAAAATAAAGTTAGTATTCTGCAAAGATCGACATAAATATTTTCATGATACAAGAGCAGGAAGATATACGAGTTTGTGATAGATGCAAAGACAAACAAACACTTATCAGAACTGAACATTCACAGTTCAACGGATTTGTGACATACGGGTCAATACTATCCAAACTAAGGTGGCACCTATCCATAATGTCTTCAACCATTAATCTGGAATACATAAGTTAACTAGACAGAGGATAAAGAGAATCAAAGTAACATACTTTCGAATTTATTAAAAGATGCAGATGTATTCATTAATATCTGCTAGTACAGGGAACATAAAATCTAGCTAATGTAAATTTGTGCAGTATTCCACTACGAGATGTCCACCTAGAAACAATATCAATGGATTGGTTGACAGAATACTTTTTTTGATGAATTCTAAAGACGGATTTACCAGTATTAATTTCATAGTTCTAAATCCAATTATCTTTGCAGATTAAAAGAAATTTAAAGGATGTCTTGTGAAATATATTATAAGCACCATGACTATTCATCAGATAACTTGTACTGATTCCTTTCTTTCCATTCCTGTTCACAGATTTGCCTAACAACTTATTACTGAAATTAAGTGACAAAATCCCCCATAAATCAAACAATAATTTGTAATACTCCCATCAGTCGAAACTATCATAGTTTGTTTTTATATAAGTCAGAACAAGTGAGCTATAGGTTGACACAAATTCGAATATGTTACTGCCCATGGAATACTCCAAAATAACAGAAATATTTAATGGTACAATCCTGCCAGGAAAAGAACCTCGGCATTTACCGCTAGATTCCCTCAAAACGTAGAAAAAAAGAGAATTCACACATAGTTTGTTAATCAGAAAGGCGATGCTATCCAATTTTAAACTGATGACATTAAAAATATGTACAAAAATGATTATCATCCCGTTCATGAAATTGCCAATGAACGAATGGATGTTAAGACATACTAGAAAGACTTAAAACAGGCAGTAAAAGTATTGCAAGTAGGATTTATTAATTTCATAAAAATTTCTTTAGAACTTCTCAGTTAAATACACTAGTTAACCGCTGATGCAATGTAATGTAATACAGGTAGAAATACACGTGTAATACAAAGTAGGTTAATGTATGAAGCGTAACGATATAAAGCATAAACAGAATATTTGACACGTTAAGCAGATATGTGGAAATATCACATAGGATCTGAAAACTGACTAGAATCACTAAAACGTATCTTCAGCCTTACGTTGCCACGCCTTACTCATAGTATTATTTCGTATTACATGCGGATCTCCACCTGTATCATATCATGGTATACATAATCGAGTAACTAGCGTATCCAGCTGAGAAATTACAATGGAACTTTATGAATTCATTAGATCCTGCTTGTAATCCAATATCTTTTTAAAAAGAATCCTTCCAGCAGTAGTAAGACATGGAAGTCGAGTGTCATAGGTAACACGAGGAATACTACACTGAAAATGGATGGCACACATCTCTACTAATTTCTTTTCACTGATAAACCCAGAGAGGGGAACTACACATACTTAGTTTTATCTTGGACGTAAATTTATTTACCGATGAAAAGTATGTGCTGATGTACACTGACTAGTCAGTTCGTTTTTTAAAGTGTAATACCTAAACAAGCGTCAGAAAAGAAAAGACGATGCATAAGAATAAGAGAAATGGATATATAATATATCATTCACTGGCATAATCATCAATACATGATTATGCGAATACAAAGGTGATTAGAGTGAACTGGAATGACAAGAAAAGATAACATAGCAAAAATGCCATAAAAATTTTAGCAAACAGAATAGAGTCAACATAATCTATGCAATGGATTCCATATATTTCCTCTTATGCAATTGAGAAAAAGAGTACAATAACATGACTCCAATGTATTTTGTCACGTTATCATCATCAGTTGTTCATAAAACCATCAAATGTTAGTTTGAGATAAAGTCCACTTTCGCATACTTGCTTTTATCCAAAAAGAAGCTGAATGCAGGATAAGTTTCATATGTTATACACGGGAGCAAAAACCAATTTACAGTTATTCTTTCTCTACTGAGCCCAATTTATTTTGGGATTAGAGTTATTAACTGATAGATTAACTAAGTATATTCTAATGATCAATTTCGCAAATTCTAGTTGCTGTTTCTAATACTTATGAGAATGTTCTTAATAACATATAACTGTAAAGTTTTAAGATGCTTTATCCACTTTCTTTCCCGTATGTAATTCCCAATTTTATGACGGTTAGATATGATGAACTCAATCGAATGACTTTCTTGTTGATATGAACTCAAGTATGTTACATTTCTATTGCATTCTCAAACTTAAATTAGATGGGTGATAAGTAGCAAAATAAAATATCATCATTTTATGTTGCTTATTCTGGCGCTTACGCTTTAAACACAGAAGTATAATATGCATAACCGTAAGAAAGATACAGTGCACAAAATCCCGGTTAGTTAAAAACAAACAGAGAGATACAGAAAAATCAATGATAACGACAGTTTGGCATGTTTTAATGTTAGGATAAATGAACAAAATCGAAAATTAATGACAACAGACACAGAAACATGAATACATAAATACCTCTTCATATAGATAGATAGACAAAACAATATAAAGGCATTCTGATATTGAATACGATGACATGCACGCACATATACACAAACAAAACAATACCAAATATCGACAACAATGATCAAAATAACGGATATTTAATAATGACTCATTCATACCTTTATGTTTACGAGATTTGTTTCGGGGTTTCCTTCATTGAAAATAGGAATAATAATAAGAATAGTAGTAATAAATTCATAGTTTGCCAATACATAATATAGATCGACTATATGTCATTAAAAATTTACAAATGTGCAGGAGTGCATGTTAGTGTTTTTACAGTGATAACAGTAATAATAAATAAATAAACACACTTAACTACCATTTATAAGTGTCCTCAATATGAAACGCGAAATAAATCAATGAAAATAACAAATGAAGTAGGGATTAGTCAAATAGGGTTACACGAGAGAAGTGAAAGGAAAACCAACCGTTTGAAACCCCATACTCCATGTACATACGAAACCTGGTTTCACCTATCCAAGGTTAACTGATACCCAGTTCACACACCCGCTGAGCACAATACGCTTACCAAATTACTTAGAGAGTGGTAACGCTTCAAGAGCATACTAGAACAACTCAAACATGTTGACTAAATTATATTCATATGTTTTCGAAGGGCGTTTATTTATTGATAATCTATGTAACACAATTTATGATCGATTGCAGCAGGATAGAGATTTCTGCATCTCCCACTCCTTCAGTTGAGAACGCTGTAAGTAACCTGAAATTACAGATGACAGCAGGCCTCGGTGGGTTAGTATCAGATGTATTTGAATATGGTCGTCAACGACTACTGATTGAATTTGCCAAAACGTAAGCTAGCGTAAACGAATCAGATATGATCCTTCCTAACCAGCCTCCATTGTTGATTATCTGTCTTTAAATAAATTCTTCTGGTGATGACCACAAAGGAATCAGTTCGTAGAATATAGTATCGAAGATTGAAGTATTTATAATAAACAGGTGTAACTTGGCTCACAGCAGCGTCACTAAGTGAAAGGGGTGCCGGGTAGATACATCATTATGTTGAAAACCCTATGCCTAAACACCCAAGGGTATTTCAGAGGCCGTAATAACCCATAAGTGAGTGGTCCTCGTCGAGTAGTGTCCGTCAACAACGTCCAGTCTCTTGATTATTGTTTAACCACAGATGTGCTGATGGAGGTTTCTCTCTCGTTGTCTGAATTTACAGAGATTGACCATGTCACATAGTATCCTTTAGTGGACCTAGAGTATGCAGATGATTTAATCTTGTTAGATGAAGAAGCTGAAAAGATGCAGTCTTACAAACATATTGAGTGGAAATCTGAGAATGTTTGGGATACATTTTTACCAGTGACTGACGATGTCTTTTTACTGCGCTGTGGTTCGCTGTGGTCTACTATATGACCGTGAAACATGATCACTAAAGTAGGAGGATGTAAGAAGGCTTCAGGTGTCTAACTACCATCATCTTCAGACTATATACCGATATGGTAATACTATATCGGTAACACAAAAATTAGTCGCAGAGTTTAGACAGAAGGGGAACTTCAGTTGATTGGGTTTTAAACTTTCCTGAACTCAGGTGGTTGATCTACCCCTGTAGCACAATGTTGGTCTGATCTCTAAATGAAAATGCAGAGTTCCCCGATTTGAATGTGCGGCAACAAAAATAAGTGTCCGAAGACTCCATGAGATATTACTCAGAATTGATCTCAATGGTGCGAATGCATCCACATGCTATGTTCATCTTAACTGTCATACCGAACTATGTGATTGCTTTATCCCTTCTTCCTCTGTGTTTACCACTTTTGATGATACTTCCCTTCTGTTTCTCTTTCATTTGGTTACCTTCTACTCTGGTGTGCTGATACGATGTGTGGTAACTCGTGACATCACATGGTAACACCAAGATGATGCTATCTCACCGACTCCTTACAATGATGATAGCCTATAAACTACTCACGCGATGCGTTGAATTACACGAAACGACTACGTAAGTCAGGTTATACATATTTGTTGTGAAATCTACAGCCAACTGTACATCAAGAAAGCTCTCGTTTTTTATTCGCTTTCTCACGGCTACCGAACTACTCAAAAAGTCAATGAGATTTAGGCGTTTGTACTGGGTAAACATACGGCTTCTACTTGATATGTGAGATGGATTTTTAAGTAGAATAAAAAAAATGAACCAGTATGGCAAGCAAAGTGGTAAGGTTGGTGACTGTCGGAAGGTTTGAGTTACAGCACAGTAGTCCACCGAAGGTAATGGAACTGATGGAACTGAAATGATATTCACTTTGGAAAGTGTAGAAGAAATGTGAAGAGAAGATAATCACTATTGGCAAAAGAAAGTTAAGAAAAATTACATCGGAAAAAGCTATTTTCGTTTCCTAGGTCTTCTCAGTTTCCCAGGTCGACCATGGAGACAGCTTCTAATCAGGTGGATATGCATGAAAACAGTGTACACAACTGGTCATGCACTCTTACTGACCGAGAATGTCTCAAATTCCAAGGGTATCGCTACCCGTACCTTCTTAGTTGAGCAGCATCAAGTGCTCGTCCTGGGTTATCCCGCTAAGGGTATTGGCAAAAAAGAGTTTAGAAAACGGCATCAGAAAAGCTACTTTTAGTGATTCGCAGTACTCCCTGGTTTAGGGTTAGTAGTAGTTCTCGGGAAATATTTAAAACTGAATAGTATAGGTGATGAAGTATGCCTACTAAATATGGCCTTTTGATTGACCCTAGAGGTATAATGAGAGGTTACATCTCCCTGGGGTAAAACTGTTACTAACGGAATACATGACGCACAAAAATGGTATCGGTGATATCGTACTTGAAAATGATTTTAGGTTTATACTTTACGCATTCTCCCGCAGACCCCCAGCAGCGTTTCTTTCTTGTAACTAATACCGTGCCCAACAAACTTCTATTTACTCAAAACTACAGCACTTATTGAATTAACTGAAAAACTATTCGATAGACATAACACAAGGAGCTTCAATATTTGCAGTATAGTAAAAAAAAAGTACACTTCTATTAATTTTCCACGAGCTCAGGTTGAGACAGGGATTTGAATATGTACTTTGATTCATTATTGTCTGCATATGTTACCGTCAAGTTAAACAGCATATAAGCGGCACGGCTTAAGTTTAGTGCTATCAAATATAAAAGTGATAAGAGATCGTCAGGGAATCGCTTTTTTTTATTTTGAAAAAGGGATTTAAGGAGCATAGAAATGCTGTCATGCTTTTACAGAACAAAGGAAGAGAGCAACGAAATTTTATGAACAGTTTGACGGAGATCTAAAAATTTGTTCTTCGTCCAATAAATCTTTTTTGACAAATATAGTAAAGCGTGTTTAGAATCAAACGAATAAACGTTTCCTAAGCTTCGGGACTTACGGTCAATAAAATATCATCGCAAGTCTCCCCTCAACACTTCAAATTCCGTTACGCATCCGTTGATAAGAACTACTTTTTGTTAGCCCATTGTTCAGTTTAAAGAGTGCTGATTCAAGAAAGTATACATTATGTAATTTGGAAGGAAGTGTTTTGGGAACTTTTACCGATAGCGATCAATGATCTACATTAATCTTACGCTAGGACAACAGCTAACAGCAGTACTCTGCATCAAACGAGATAATAAAAAGATTAGTAACAACTATCAAAGTAATCATTTCAGAAGACTAAGGACTTAAACCTTTACACTTTTTTACTTTCCCCTGGTAAATAATTCAAGGTCATATATTATACAGACAAATGTACTGTGGCCTAATCACGACAACTAAAAGCTCAATGTACTAGCTTTTAAGCCCTGTCAACGAATATTCCACAGTTTTCTTGTCAGTATAAATGAACACAAAAGAATAGGATAATAAACCTTAATGTCAACTACATTGGTTGTTAACAGAAGTTGGTTTTGAAATTGCTTGACATTTAAAGAAATATTACAAGACTATAACAAATATCGATTATCTTTTAACAGGAGTCTTCTTATCCTACTACCCTCTTCATATGCCTGGCCTATATATATATATATATATATATATATATATATATATATATATATATATGCACACAGTGAAATGTTGTAAAAATGAAATGTAACCAGAAACAACTAAAATCCTACAAGCGATTCCTATAGTGACAGGATTTTGTTAGAATACTAGCTAATTTCTGAAAGTATTTAAAGACAGAAGATTGTTTATCAACTGGTCGACCAAGTTGGTAATCAATGTGAGACGAAAATGAAGAAAATAGGAAACTTATGAAAGGAGTATAGACAATCTTTTTATTTCTACACTTTAAACATTTGTGTGTGAACAAAGTTATGTAACAAGTCACCATGAAGTCCAACTACTTGTGTATCTAGAAAAACTCGGTTTAAAAAAGATTCTATTCACAAAGCAATCATCCTATTTATGCACCCAGGATGTGCTACTTTTCTGAGCGCTCACTGAACAAAGCAGTACACTGGACTTTGATGTTTGAAATAGGCATTGTGAAATATGATCATGAGAATTAAACTCCACGAGGTATGGCTTTAAATATACTTTTAGATTCTTATTCTATCACTATCCCATTAAAATTTTATCATTTTAGCACTGAATGAGTATGTGATTGAGAACAAGTACTTTTACTGAACAACTGATAACAAAAGACGTATCGCACACTTCAATACACAGTTACATTTAGAACGTGACCAAAGTTAGCAAATGTAACAGGTAAAATGTTTACACAAAAATAGCATGCGGGAGAGATAACTTACTGTGGATTGTCCTGATAATCTGTTGGTGGTCTCATATAGAAGCCGTGATATGAAATGTAATCCCTAAATACATTATGAAACAACAAGAAATTATCAGTAGTAGGAAGAACAGTATGGTAATTAGAGGTTAATAGAAGGGACAGAGGATACTTTTCAAATGTACCTGAAATATGTGCCACTGTTACGTAATTATGACTATTGTGACAATTCAGTATCATCAGCTGAACACCTATTGAATATTATCAAATATTCAAGTGGTCATTACTTCGTTCTATTCTTTTGCCGTTAAAGCCTTAACCCAAAGACTGAAATATATTATCTATTATTAATTATTGAACCAATTTTTCATTTAATAGTACAAATATTTTCAAAAGAATGGGGGAGGTTTTTCAAAAGCTGAATAATTCTATGAAGCCTTTATATTTCTTCTGATTTTTCTACACAAGCAAATGAATTACATCAAGCTTACAAAATATAATGATGAAAATTGATACTCATCTCTCTTTTTAGTTCTTACGCTTTCCATTTGTAGATGTTTTAAGGTGGCACGTGTTTAACTAACGAAATATGTTTCATAAGTGCATAGTGTAGTGCAGATGACTGGCCTATCTGAAAGACAATGCGCATGCTGCAAATGTGATACAAATTAAATAAAAAGGTACTTAGTCGTGAAAAGCTAGAAATACAGTTAGTTAGCGGACATAAGAGAGTAGAAAAATTCTTGATTACATAAAATTTGTCTACAACTTAATGCAGAACTAGCATATACAACTGATTTCATCACAGTTGAATTGTTCGTTCTTTAGAATACAAAGTAAAAGGTAATTTGTTAAACTTTCAATTAGATAGATTATGCCAGGAAAAAAACAAGAGGTTTACTCTCTTCAATTGTGTTGAACACCTAGTTAGTTTGTCAGTATTTCTAGGTGTTCGCTCCGGGTAACACTTAAAGTTATAATTGAACAATAGGAGTTTGTGACTGTGTGCTAGTGCATACTATTTGAACTACAACCATCTTAAGACTAATCAATGCGAACATGAACTCTGTCGTCTATTAACCAGTTGTAAATTACACTAACATCACTAATAAGCGTAGGTACAATTATGAATTCAGAAGTATACAGTAAGTGTTAAGTTTATCCCACTGTACAGAACTGTAAATACCAAACTAGGTAAGGAGTGGACACTAAAATAAACCAAAAATTGACACATATATGTATGTTAGTTAGGACAGCCTACTGTCGGCACCATGAATGGTAATAAGAGACAATCGCATTATTAAAAATTACTTGTACCTGTGTTGTGTAAATCAAACTTGAAAGATATCAATGCAGTCATGGAATGATCTACTAGCCTGAAACTAAAACATGTATACTGACATATTAAAACTAGACGCCAAGTACAAGAAAAATACAGATTTTTTCCCATCGTCTATTCGACGCTGCTACACATCAATATGGATTTGCAGACCTGCAACCGAAGTTGAAAGAAGCATGAAACATATTTCAATAAGCCGAAATATGATACTAATCTATTACGTATTTTTGAGATAGGGATTTCAATTTAGAGGTAGTATTCATCATCATCCCCATTCGTCTCAAAAATACATTACTGTATAGTGTTCATTAGTGATTTGCTTCCAGATGGATATCGTGAAGCTCTAATGAGCAGCCGTGACCTGTGGAGTCAACCAGTCGGAAGTGAAGTGAATGCTAACTGAAGATCTTGGGTGATAGTTGCGCTATATTGTGAACTGACAGAAGTTGGGGATTGTGAACCACTGAGAACCGACCCAGTGGCTGAATGGTTAACGCGTTCACCGTGAAACCTGGAGGTCCTGAGTTCGATCCTTAGCCGGGTCATAGGTGCGTACTGCTGAGGAGCCCCATACAAGGGCGAAACGGCTGTCCAGTGCTCCCAGATTTTCAATGTTTCCCCAAATGATGTCAGTCGATGAAGAATACTACCTCTAAACTAATCTACTAATTAAATTACTATTCATTGATATGAAAATGAAACTTAACGACTAAAAGTTAAGAACTCCAGAGAAATTGGTAGTGATTAAAAGAAAAGCGAGATTGAAAAGATACGATGGGAGAAGCAAGTAAGAATTTTCATACCATCTATTAATTAAACAGATTTTGAATCCATTTTATTCTTCTATTTTTGCAAACACCTTGCTTATTTTAACATTCACAAAATTAACTGTTCTATGCTAGCACAACCTCCTATGAATTAAAAGTATAATATATTCTGTTATTTTCTCGGCAATGGCTAGTAGTAGAATCCAGGAAGCACTTCGCCGTATTTAGTACTCATCAATATCAATAAAAACCAGCTACAGAAATTAATCGCTTTTTCACACAGAAATTCACAAGGTTATTCGGGCTACTTTGTTTAGCTCATACATAGCCTACTATAAAATAATATATAGTCCATTTTTTCTGTATAGGTGTACTATTTGACTGAATTACGTAAAGCATTGCATACAGACAAATTTAGTGTTGAGGTTTCGGTATCAAATTTACTCCACCTGAACCTAGCCGAAAAATATCACTAAACTTAATAGAATAAACATATTTAAACGCCACACGTGCCTGGATAGTGAGTTAAATTTGCCAAAAAAAACCAGCTAAACAACATACAATAGATTTACATAAACTGAGTTTTAGCGTTACAATTTAACGCAAAACTCAGTAACCACCTATCATTCACCCTGAGAAGTAATTTACTATTCATCAATGTTTGATGTGTTAACATCCTCTGATTATGATAAGTGATATGAAAACGGCACACTATTTTTTCAACTCGATTACCAAGGTTTATCAATTTACATTAAAACTTAATTATACTTACGGTTCTTCATAATCACGACTATATTTTTCTGTTTTACGATACAAACCAGCTAATTTAACAGCAAAGATGATGGCAGGAATGAAAAGAAGCAATGTGAATCCGAGTCCAGTCCAAAATGCATTCTATCATTTTAAGAATAAAAAAGGAATAAACCATAAATAAAGGCTACTAGATAAAGTCGGTTATTCTTCCTACTGCGATAGTTCCATTCATTGAATTTAATTAAAACGGTAGGTGAAATCATTATTGCACAGTTCAACCCATAAATCATTGTACCAGATAATTCAAACATCGTTTTGCCAGTTTATTGGCGAAGTGATCGACACACAGTGATCAAATACAAATACATATGAGATACAAAACGCGGGGAAAAACTGTTGCAACGAATATACCACCATCGATAAGTTGACAGTACAAAAGTCGTACACTAACCATGTTTATAGTGCCTACGAATTAACAGTGGATTCTATTCTTGGGAATGAGTTTAAATTTTCTGGATGATGATTTTCATTCTATGCGAGTACAATACTTTAAATTGGAATCCATGTTCCTTGTAAATGGAATTACATACGTATAATAACTGTTCGATAATTTCCACCATTTGATATTCGTTGTTGGATGTTTCTTCGTCCCACCCTGAACAACAAATCTTTTCGCAAATATACAATTCTAATCGAGAAAAATAGGCAATATATTGAAACTATATTCAAAGATTACTTTATAGACGGACGAAGTATACACCGAGGTGCAATCAATAAAGAGGAACTAGACATTATTTAAAAATGCATGCATCTTAAGAAGTGTGAAATAACTGGTAACAAAATTCACACTTGATTCAACCAACTTACAAATGGCATTAGGAATGTGAAACAAAGTGAATCTACTCCACGTTTTGCGGCAAGGCGAAGTGATCGACATGGAATATCATGCCAAGTGGCGATAACGGCCAGTTGTAATTCTTTAATAAATAATGGCTGAAGTTTGATAAGCCCCCGGTCCATAGTCTGAAAAGTAGTTTTTTTTCCAAAGGAGGTAAACAGGCATTATGATACAAAAAATTAAATATCAGGCTAAAAGATCCAAATGGAAAGATGAGAATACAAAGAATACAAAGCAAGCACTAAGACTTTATTTTCCTTATAACTAGAGAAGTACATCTAAAGGTTAAAAACTGATTGAAAGCTAAGTGGAATGTTTAGAGGCAAATTCATCCTGAAAACATGGAAGTAAGCTTTAAAATATCAGGAGTTAGTGAAAACATTCATGAAACACGATAAATAGAGCAGGTGACCTACAAAATGTTTGACAGTATGCATAAAACCTATGGAATAATAATACTGCAAAAAAAGTGGAACGTAACTTTGGTTAAAACATCAGTTAATAACATAGAGTAGTTGGATCAATACTTTTCGTTTATAAATGGCAAGTTTGATGACCACTGGAAATGCTTAACGCATAGACGGATCGATCGCTAACGGAGAGTAGTGATAGACCACAATGAAAATCCATCCTTTTATACAAAAATAGTAGCTACCCAATCTATGCACTCGTCCGTTGCCGGTGAGATGATCGTTCGCATGAACGCTAGTGTTATCTCCTTCAGTATGTGCCCCAAAAGTGCTAGAGTATCCACAGTAATCTTTAAAAACAGATTTGACTATCAAGTTACATTTATAACGCCTTAACACGATTTATCAACAAAACTCTTATCGGTAAAGACAAGTAATAATGAAATCGCTTTACACTTGCATACGGCTATGTCAATAACTGAGGAGAGGTGGTGCAAACATTAGTATGGTCAATGGTCAAATGGTTTTCTTCTAGGAAGCTAAAATGCCACTAATCAGCTTTTGAGAATAGAGTATGGCCGAAAATTCAAATGAATTTAGTGTCAAATTTCACTGGTTATTTCTTCAACCACTGGCATAATATACATACTAAAATGGTTTTGCGGAATGAACGACTACTCAAAATATTTCCGTTACAAAAATCTGTTTAGGAGACCAACCGCATGAACTACAAAAGTATTTCTTTACAGTCCCCAAAAAGAGATGGACTCCGATACATGATAGATGGATGCAATATCCAGAAAGTCCTAAACTTAGATCGCCTGTTCGTTGGCACTCATCAGTAAGGCGTGTCCAAATCCTCGACAAACTGATATTCAGCTTGAGGTTCGAAGCCGAGTCACAAAGTGCTGCAGTCAGAGATGCTAGTATCGAACTATTCGACCAACCTCCTGTAGGACTGGATTAGATATATTGGTCAGTAGAGAGTAATCAACTTCATACTGTCTAGTCCTAAGTACTGATCGGATCCTATCGATCGTTTTGTTGCCACCAAATAACATATATCCTATTGCATCGAGATGTTGGGCCTCCTAGCTTGATGGCCACATTGTGAAATGACCGGAAGAATTCGACCAGACAGCATGTAGTTGGTTATTTTACAGTAGCCAATCAGATTAGAAATGGACTCCGGACTAAACACATTCAATCACTTGGTAATCGGTGATCATAAGAATAGTGAGGGTCTAGGGTTAAGCACTGAAGATGAACAGCATACTTCTAAAAACTAAGTGTCCTGGAAACACCCTTAATTTCTATGATAAACACAGACCTTGATATACAAGAGGAAACAGTTTACACTAAATACAACAATTTATAATAGCGTCTTAAATTCAACTGTTACGCTGCATACTTCCAACAATAACTGGTAGGGATGAAGTTGGACAGATAATCAGCTCTTTCTGAAATGAAACACCGCTACATAACAACAACATATGGAATCGAAATCAAAATCCACTCAACAACTTTGCACAGTAGGTAATGAGTCATACATAGTGTGTGACGGCTTATGACACTACCTAGCTGCTCAAACCTTGGTAGATTGAGCTAGCTCTAAATTCACCATCCATCGGCTAATGAGCGAAAACAATTATCAGCATTTAATAGCATATCCTTCATATATCATAAATGGATCTGATATACTTATTAGTAAGTTGACAATTATCCATCTAACCGTAAAGCTATGAAACAGACGTTAATAATTAGAAAATGTTGTCTTGTGTAGATCATTCTGATACGCTTCATATCCAGATTAGATGATGACTATTCGACACGATAAAAGTCTTCTATAACTTACGTTGTTTATAGCTTATTCATAAAAGCAAATTACCAAAGAAATTAAGGCTGAATACAATTGAAAGGTAATGAAAATTCTTGGTTGTATTGTGTTCTCTGAGCTGGTTGTTTAATCGTGTTTTTATAGATGAAACAACCCAGCTCAGAGAACATAATACAATCAAGACCATCCACCTGAGTTACAAATATTCTCCACTGTTTCAAATCATACTAGTGTAAATGAAATTAAAAACTGAAATAGTAATCAATCCTTACCGAATAAACAGATTCTGTAGTCTTTGATTGTATTGATGTCAGTTAGATTAACAGAACATAGGAATTTAGCTAAACATAGAACGACAGACCCCAATAAGATCAATAACCTAGAAAAACACTCAGCCATTGCATTACATTCATTAACACACAACCACACAATAGGATGGGACAAAACCACTGTACTTAAGTCTAATATAGCTAGGTGGAGAGAGAGATTAATTACTGAATCTTTGTTCATCGAATTCACACCCAACACATGTAATAGGAATGACGCAACACCTATACCAGAGATATGGAAAACTTTACTACCAATCAAAAAACAAAAAAACAAAGAGAGATCAGGTGACAGGACTATAAAATCAGATGTCGAAAGAAGTGTGATTACATTGATATGATTATGAGCAATAATTTATGCTCGAAACGTAATCAAGTAAATAATACTGTATCACTGTGCGCTTTATATCAAATAAACAAATCTAATATGGAACAGATAGACCATATTGCTATAAGTTTTCGCTGAAAATGGTTAGTGGAAGATGGCTTCTCCTTCTGTAGCACGTGTTCGGAAAGTGACCACGCATTGGTCCGATCACGTATATGTCCAAACTTAACTGGACGTAGAAAAACTATAGCAAGAGGAAAAGTGCGAGTACAGCTCGACAATGACAAATCTAAGGCAGCTTTTACCAAGAAACTGGCTCGATATTTATCGAAACATAATGACCTCACTTAAAAGTAAGAAGCTTGGTGCAATCTGTATTTGACTATGCAAACAGTGTTAAAGAACGTAAGTGACTGTACAAAAGTGGTTGGAAGGAGTCAGCATATCTGGGTCGCACCTTCCAAATTGATGGATGCGTGTAAACACATTCGTGCAGCCTCCACGGAGAGTGAGGATCGAAAGCGAAAGATGCCAAATGCAGACTGACAAGAAGTCTACGTAATGACCGTTAGCAGTGATGGGCAGTGAGCGCTAAAGAGAAGGAGAAGATCTCTGTGATAGGTAATAACAGACAGTTATTTAGATTAATGAAGGGTGGTAAGGTTATTGGTTAATGAGACTGGTATAAAAGATGGACCAGCGACTGACTCACAGGGGCGACTACTGGATAGATGATTGAAATACTTCGAGAAGCAGTTGAACTAACCTGCAGCTACTATATCGTTACCCACTATGTGATTCGATCTAGGAAGAAACACGGAGATAGGACGCGCAATGCTTACAGAATTCGAAAAAGCTTTAGATAACCTTAAACGAAGCAGAGCAGCATGACCAGAAATACTAGTTCGAGAGGTCTTTAAGGATGATGGTAGACACTTATGGATCGAGTTAACTTAAGTATTAGCTAATGTTTGGGAATCATATATGATCCTCTTTGATTGGTCTCAACCACTGAATTTCCCTATCTTCAGGAAGGGCGAGAAGTCCTCTTGTAATATCTGCACAGGAATCAAGCTTGCCGATATAGTATCTACGATTCTGCGTCTGAGTGGAGTTCGGAAACAGCGAACCAAAAAATCCAGTTGGGCTTCAGACTTGGCCATAGATGTATCGACCAGACATTCACTCTCTATCAGTTTCTGGAATTCTGGCTTACTTACGGTCGTCAGACACTAGCTGTATTTCTCGACCTAAAGGCCACATAGGACTTCGTCAATCGAGAGGTCCTATGACTGTCTCACAGGAAAGGGTGGGGAGTAAGTACATCAGTATATTGAGGGGTCTCTACCTGAATATCTATGGGCGTGTTGGAGCCTATTGTGAGTTGTTGCATGGGTTGTGTACGTCGAGTGGTGTCTGTCAAGGATATCCACTCTCTCCATTCTGATTTAACTTTCTCGTGGATGTACTTATAAAGGTCTCTTTCTCGTTGTCTGGCCTCATAGGTATTAATGTAATCATAAGAGAATCGTTGGTAGGTCAAGAGTGCGCAGATGTTAGGTGGAAATGCTGACAAGATGCAATTCCGCAGACATGTGTAGTAGCAGTTTGACAGCATAAAAACTTACTGAAAGGTGGAATGGTAGACTATTAAGGTATAGAGTTTAGAGAAAAACTACGCTACCGTTTTGGGAGGGCTGAACCATAATCAGATTATTGAAAGGGATAGGATGGCAGTTTTACAGTCCAATATTGCTAGGCTGAGGGAGAAATTGGTTAGCGAATCTTCGTTCATCAAAACAACTCCCAACATATATTACACAAATGATTCACGACATACTGCATGTATCTGGAGAATTTTACTAGCATTATATGAGAGAATAAAGAGCTGTTGGACTATAAATGTCAAGTCTGTAGGTTGTATGGTTCCATTAATATGATTATGAGCATTAAGTTCTGCTCACAACGTCGTTCCATGCACATTACTGTATCATTGTATGCTATATAATATAAACAATCTAACGTGAAATTATACTTTATCAAAGTACACAAGTTTTACTTTTACACTAATTGGCTAGTGATACAACCTACTAGTACAGACCTCAGTAGATGAAGTGGGGTGTGAATCCGGGAACAAGTAGTTGGGAACCGAACACCTACATCTACCAGTCAAAGCTACCTTAGTAGTCTAGGTTTTAATAATACTTTATCTTAAAAGAAATTACAACCGTGTCACAGAAGCGGACTCAGTTGTTCTACTCTTGATAATGTTCAAAGGTGTAAGAAGATATTCAGGTAATAAAGCAAGATTCACTTTTAAACCAGTAGTAAAACGAAATGTTCCTTTACTTCAGAATGAAGTTCTTGTTGTATCCATTTTCGGATACTGAGCTAGATAACTCAGATAACTATCAGTATCCATTTTCACAAATTACCAAAGTATAAGTTAATTATCCACCACTGTATGCAAAATATTGGTTGTTGCTAAATGTCATAAACTAAAAGAAACTGATTTCGAAAAAACAAATTTTGATCTTATTCTGAATGCATGTATCACACATGTTCACCACTTAGGAGTTTGTCGTATACATTTGTTTTATTCCGCAAACAGGACTTTGAATTTTGAAATAATAACTAAGAAATCTGCAGAAACGGCACGACATTAATTTGCAACTAGTGCATATGCATGTACCTTCAAAGCACAAAGTATTTACACAGATTCAACAGGATAGTGTGCTTATTCATCAGTTGGTACTGAAGTGCTCAAAATAATTGAGAATTTCATGTAAATGAACAGTGGTAGGAATGCTATCTGTGGATGTGGTCGGCTTATATCTGTATAGCGCAAACCCACCTTTAGTACAGTAATGACTATTATCTGTGTGCTAACGATTTACTGTGAAGAGTTCCATACTGAGGTTTTAAAGTATTATATTATTATTATTTATCACTTGGGTTCCTAGTGGAACATAGGGCTTCAGTAGCACATCTCCATTTCACTCCCTTCTCTGCAGTCTTTTGAACCTGGCTCCACGACTGCCCACAAGCATTCATTTCTTCCTCACATGATCTCCACGTCACTCTTGGACGTCTGATTCGACGTTTCTCCTTACGATCCCACTCAAGGGTCTGACTTGCCACGTGATGTCTCCGAATAGTTTTCTCAGTGTATGCACAATCCATCTCCACTTCCTTCTGCATATTTGTTGGGCGAGTTGACTGCCATTGTATGCTCTATTCTATGATGGTGCGTAGCGTTGCAATTTGATCGTCATATGATTTGTTTTTCCTAAAGCCAGTTTGTTCCTGCCGTAAATCTGAATCCAGAGCATTGTTTAGCCTCTCCAGGATGATGCGGCTTAATATTTTGCTCGGAGTGGATAGGAGGATAATTCCGCTCCAGTTATTGTAAAGACTTAGGTCTCCCTTCTTTGGGAGTTTGATAAGGTAGCCCTTCTTCCAATCAGTCGGCAGGTACCTTTCATGCCTCCCTTCCAAACCTTCTGCAGTAGTGGTGTAAGCATGTCCGCTGCAGATGTCTCTGCATCTGTTTTCAGTGCTTCTGGAGGAATTCCATCTGGTCCTGCTGCTTTCCCGGATTTCAGCAACTTTATAGTGTTCAGGACCACTTCTGCTTTTGTCGGAGGGTTAGTGTTCACTGATAGTTCTGTGGCTGGGCTGCTGGTGGTATTTCTGGGTAAGTTGCAGGTGGTGGTCGATCCGAGAGTTTTTGAAGTGGTCAACCCATCGTTTCCTTTGTTTCTCCTCTTTGGTTACTAGGTTTCCTTCACTATCTTTCATTGGTTTCGTCTGTGTTGATCTCTCCCCTCCCCGATTGTAACCTGGTTATTTGATATAATGTTGTCAGGTCTCTGTCTCTCCTACCAGTATCCTGTTCTGCTTCACTTGCCGGTGTGTCGTAGAAGTATCTTTTGTCTTTCGGTGCACTCTTCTTCACTTCTTTGTCCAGTGTAGTGTTTTATAGGTTATATTCAGTCCCTCTTTTGATTGCTGTTGTGTATAAAATCCCTCCTTCTTTTGATATGCACTATTTGTAGGTGCGTTGTATTGGCAACATTGTACGATCGTGATTTTCTTTCCTTTTGAGGAGTTCAACCTTGCTGTCATGATCCTGATCCTACAGTAGGAGATTGGTTCCCACTGTATGAGAGCGTTCTATGCTGTTGGGGATATCATGATATCCACTCCAAAACTCAGTGTGCTCGTGGTTGTCATCTTGATGACAGTATCGGAGTAGATTATCGACTCTGCAGTTAATAGTTTAGAGAGTCTACTTCCATTCCATTGCATCTGCAGATCCCTCGGAGATTCCTAGCACTTCTATGCCATACCTCCTCATCTCTTTGGCAATCTGGGCAACCTTACCAGCCTGCTTCAAACATTGTTTGGACATTTTATGTCCCTATGCTTACTTTTGCTTTCATCGAGAGATGAGAAGACGCATCGACCCGAAGGCTTTCACCTACCGGCGTCATTTCGTCTTTCGATAGATTCCGGCGAGGAATAAGTTTATTTTTATTTTTTGCATTTTCTCTGTGCTCTGAAGTTTCTTTATGGATTGGATTGGTTTCACGGGGTAGGGTTGCTAGCTTTCCGCCTAACCTTCTCTGTTTATCCGGGCTTAGGACTGGCTAGTGGGAACTGTAAACTATGAAGATTCGCTATGCTTGGAACTAGTTAGAAGAAGCAGTAGGGTGGGCAAATAATGTTTATATATCGAAAGCAAACTGTGATTTGGTAGTTTTGTCATATGCAGGTACGCAATGAATGGGGATTGCATTAGATCACCACTTGCCAGGGCATCAGGATAATTGATGAAGTGTTGCACAAATTCAGCGACTCTGATTTCAAATGCGAATCTAAACAAAAAATTGTCGATTGTGAAATAAATATATTCTTATTGTGCTTTAAGCAGCAAGTAAAAGAAATCATTGTTGATTCTGTTACGTTTTGTACGCCTTTTATAATTATTACTTTTCGTTTATGATGCACTTGCAATTCTCCGTTGTTTTGCTGTATCGAATTGTTCGACCTCTATTGGCATATGGGCTCCTGTGTTGATGCCTCGATATTGCCTGAATATGTAGTACGGTAATTTACTTGGTTGCAGCTAGGAGAAAAATCCAGGATGTGCGTTTCTTCCCATTTGGAACTCGTCAGCCTGATGTACCTAGACCTCAGTAAGTGATGTTCCCACTAAGATTCGAGCCTCATATCCATAGCTTCAGACGTCACACCGTTATCCACTAGGCTACTGAGGCACGATAGCCACCTCTTGTAGCCACCTTTCAAGTCTCAGTGGGAATAACACAGCGGGGTGCAGGTGTACATCCAGCGGATGAGTCCAAAATAAGATGCAATGGATGTCCTGGATTCTTCTGCTGGCTACAACCAAGTAAGTTAATTTTCGTAATTGCTTCTTGTTTACTTCGTGTTGCATCATTTTTTCTTCCGTGGTGCACATCTCAGAAATCTAATCACCGAATGTTTTCTTTTTAGGATGTAGCAGCTGACATTGAAATCAGGTGCAGAAAGTTATTTTCCTCTAATGCGGTTTTAGACTTAGCGAACTATACTACTTATAAATATTCTGTAGTATAAATCGAAAAGCAAATATAAAACCATATAGATGGAATCCTCTCACAGCATTGATACAAAAATACCTCAGATTCAAAGTATGAGCATGAATTATTTTCCATCATGACAAAACTCCACGATAAACCATTTGACAACTTGACAACATATCTGAACAATTTGTCCACAGTGATCATTAGACATATAATTGAAATATTTATTTCCGACACAAGCTTTTAGAAACCGACGAACACCAGTGGAGCAGGATTTATTGAATTCATTGGTTTCAGCAGAATTCATCTGCGTTTTAAGCCAAATACGTGATTGCAGACATTGTTATGAAATGAAGGAATGCACACATATATAATAACAGACTAAGACATTGGCTGAGGCTTGGCAATATAGAGTGAATAATCCAACTAGGTGAAAAGGTTGGGGGGGGATAACAAAGTGATACTGAAGAACAAAAGGACTAGGGATGAATTACGTTACTTTGAACAGAACAGTTAATACTCAAAGTGATATTTGTGCCCAACTAAGGAAGCCTAGGTGTTAGGTGAACAAAGATATTGTTTATAATTGCAGTGGAAGTGATAATGATAAGATTCGGAATGAAAAAGGGAAATTGCATCATTTTCGAACAGTGTTTGCCGAATCATCAAATAATAGTAATAAAAATAGCAGCAGCAGTGAGACGACAGGACTATGAAAGGAAATGGCAATGAGAGATGATATGAATAATGAGTTGATAAATGCACTAATAAAAGGAAGAAATAAAATGGAGAAAAAAACGTTAATAGATATGTTTACTATACATCGAAACCACTAAAGTGGTAATTTCAGGGTGACTACCATCTCCTTATGCACACAGGTTCGGTTTACGCATTGCATTCGCATACGCTTCCATGATCGCAAGCATTTTCATGTTGTGTTGTCTGCTAACAGCCGTGAAGACCTAAGTAATTTCGATGTCGTGTCCTTAACACATTAGATGCTTCGAAATGGACCTTTCTATAGATTTATCAGTCCTTTTTACTAGGGAGAAATCTAGGAATCTGGTAGTATCGTCTTTTTGTCTGCAACTGTAAAGCTGAGGTCGACGAGACACGGATTTAAATTCTTCAAAAAAAATTTCCGCTGCCATTTTAATTTCACATACAATAAGAATGTCATCTTTGGCATAGTTCTGCTTAATCTATCGATTCTCTCGGATACTAGCTTCTAGACTTGAAAGAAAGTAATTCAAGAAAAAGCGATCCAAAGAGGCTTCCTATTGCAACACCATCGACGAAATGATTAATCCTCCTATATGTGCGTAAACAGATGGTAGTCACCTTGGGTTTGCCACTTTAGTGGTTTCTATGTGCTGTAAATATATTTTTTTATTAGTGGTTTTGTTTTCCTTTTTATTTCTTCCTTCTCCTAGTTTGCTTACCTACTCATTATCCCTATTCCGTCGCACTACCATTTTCTCTTGAACTGCTTCTGCTATTATCATTATTATGATTCGGCTACCACTGTTCAGAAATGATAATTTTCACTTTTCATTCTCAGTCTTATCATTATTATCAATCTCATTCCAGTTATAATTAATATTTTTATCCACCTAGCACTTATGTTTCTTTAGTTGTGCACCACTGTTTAGCATATTCTGATTCCTCCTTCCTTACTTTTATTGTTTTAAACTGCTTTTGGCCAATTTTTCTTTCTTCATCTTATATCTTACTGCTTTGTTACTTGTTGTGCTAATGTGAAGTGTGGCAAACTGAACCGTTACGTAATAATACGTGGTCCTATGTTGATATTGTCATCTTAATCAATATCAACATAGGACCAGGTGTTACTGCGTAACGGTCGAGTTGCCTCACCTCATATCGGTACATCAAGTAAAAAGGCAGTGAAGCGCGAGACGAAGATAAGAAAATTCAGGCAAAAGAAATATAAAGTACGAAAAGAGAGAAAGGAAGAATGAGAAAATAGTGAGATTCGGTATAGCGTCGTTAAGATGAGGGTAATGTATGTGTATATCATGCACCTCTAAAAAGATTGTAAGTAACACAAACTACATGGACTCTCAACTCATTAAGGTTCTGAACATAAAAAGTTACTTCATTCGAATTTTTGTTCAGCATTGATTGGTAATCAAACGTAATCAGACAAGATCAATAGGGGACCAGATATTCGGGTGTTACAGTTCAAGTTGCAATACCTCACTCATATTAGCATATCAAATAAGAAAGCACCTTGATGAAAGATAAACAAATAAAGAAGAAAGTAGTCAAAAGTAATGGAGAGTCATGATAAGATAACAAGGAGAAATAAGAAACTACTGAATTCAGTACGACGATAAAGGTGAGGATAATGTGGATAGATCTGCGCCAGGGGTTGATTCTGAATCATGTCATATAGAGTCTTCGAATATCGACTTCATTTTTCATGCTTATCCCTACAGGTAAGTCTATATTCTCCTACATGGGTCAGACCAACAGTCGAAGATTTTGTATACTCATGACATGTAGTCTGGTTGCCTTTAACCTTTTGTCATACTAAGCCTATTTCAACTCATTATGTCCAATGGAGCAGACGATGAATAGGCGCCCCAGACACCTGAACCAAAGGAGCTTCACAACATTATTGAGTTAATTTCCTCATCTCCCTAAAACTCCACATCTGACTTTTGCTTTACTGATGCGATGACACCACGTTAAACAACATGTGCTGTGAAGGGAACGGTAGTACGACACCTACAGCCTTCTCATATTCTCTACCTTTAATGGACATGTTTCACAGCGATAAACTACAGGGTGAACTGCAGCACAGTACACTCAATTCTGGATAAACAATCAGATATCGTGGCCGCGCTATAAGCGGCCTGGGTTGGCGAAAGCCAATACAGCTTTTTGTATGCTTGCAGAGATTTCGTCGGGCACTGACCCACCAGGGCCGTTCCAATTTCCCAGGTAACGGAAGTGGTTAACGTCTCCAATCAGTTCCGTCTCAATTGTTAGATAGAGCACCAGTGGAAACCAGTCCTGCAGGAACTATTTGCATTTGGATAGCGGGAAATGCGTGTTTGAGATGCCTTTCTGACTATCGGAATGCGGATTGCCGCTGCACAACTAGTGTGCATCATCCGTGCGTTTAATTTTAGGGGTTGTGGGAGTTGTTGGGTGCATTGAAAATCTCACTTACGTGAGAAGTGGGATCAGAACTGATGAGTCAGTGACCGACGAAACCTCTCCTTAGGTACAAAAGGCTCAGTCGACCTTCTTCAACTTTCACCATTTTTAGGGCTGCCGTGATATATGATTATCTATTAAGGGTCGAGTTTTGTTTGCTGCGGCTGGCACTGTTCTGTTATATTGCTGTAGAATGTGGCCATTGAAAGTAGAGGATATAAGACGGCTTTAGGAATTCGACAACCGTTGCCTCCATATTATAAGTCGTGATGTCACCACATCACTGATGTGGAAGTCAGACGTAGTTTTAGGTAGAAACGAAGAAGAAAGTTAGTTGATGAGGTTGTGAGTCTTCAGTGACTGAATTAGTTGGTATATATGTTACTAACACCTAGTCATCGTCTTTGCTTTTAATATTGTTATTATAAGTATGCTTTGTATGGGACAGGGTTATGAGCAGCCAGAGTAAAATATGTGATTATTACATGAAGTCTTTGACTGTCGGTTTGAGCCATGTAGGAGAATGTGGACTTCTGGGTTGGGGACCATGTGACAGCGAAAACCTATCGTTAGCGATTCAAGTTGACCTGGCTCATAACCGATGTGAGTGCCGTACATGTATTTACACAGAGTTTTTATTTCTTCTTCTTCCTGTTTTGAACTTTTACCACTTTGACCACTTTCTTCTTTATTTAATTTTCATTTTGGTATGATCTAATTTGATGTTCTCATGTGTGGTGTAGCAAGTTGAATCGTTACCCAGTAATTCCGGATCCCATGTTGACGCTGACTAAACAGTCTAGTCGCGCTTACGTATTGTCTAAAAACGGCAAGTTTAAACGACTTGTTTCTACTAAAAAGTGCTGTATGTAGATGCAGTATTGTGCGTAGATGATTGCCATATATGTAGCCAACGGATGAATAGAGTATTTAAAGGTTGGTGGAATGTAGTGGAGAAAAAAGAATGAAGGCATACAATTCAGTATAAGTGCAGATAGGTGTGAAGGGAATTTGAATTTCATTAAGTGATTTGCAAAATTTAGAGTTATGGGGTTGTTTTTGAGCGTGTGATATGCCTGAAAGTTAAGTAAAATTTAGAGCAAGAAACAGCATAAACTTCATAAAGATATGGTGGTTTGGAGGATGCTGTAGAATACACGTGTTCATATCAGCGTAACGAGAATGTGTATATGAATCTGTGAATTATTCAGTAGGACAAGTAAAGGGAGATTAAGCCATACACTGATGCGCTTCGGTACCCGCACTGGAGAGGGATAATCCCATACGGTTAAAGGGGACGTATGCGAAGAAGGAACAAATAAATGAAGGTTAATACGAAGGCCTTGAAGTTTTTAAAGATTGAATGTATTTTTATATTTTGCTATATTTTAATATATGTAGTACGCTGATAGATGCATACTTCAGTGGTTATTTTGCATACATTTATGTAGACGATTGATGAGGTTGTGAACCTTAATCGACTTAGATGACTTGCACATGTACTGTGCATACCGAGCCGCCGCTTACCTCGATGTGCCATGCTAAGGTAAGCTGTGTTGGAGATTGGAAGACGGTTCAGGGTGACCAGAGCAAGACCTGACACCAGTCGATGAAGTCTGTTACTGTTGATTTGAGTCATGTGAGGAAATGTAGACTGCTTAGTTGGTGTGTCCGAAACGAAAGGAAACAGTATTTGAAGACTCTTGGTAACGTGGCTGAAAACTGGTCACAATGCCACACATGTTTAAACTCTTTAATATCTTCTAAAGCTTGAATATTCACACTAACGTTCATCTTCATATTGTTTGTTTTCTGACACTACTTTATCTATTTTGATAAATGAAGTGTGGCGACCTGAGCCGACACACCTATGTGCGAGGTTCTACGTTGATTTAATCAGTCAATCATACCTTTATGTTGTTTTTCGTTCTTCTTTGGTCTTGAATCTTGCTGCATCTATATATAGTGAAGTTTATATTTTCACTGTTAGCAGATGATGCAATCATCATGGAGTGTTTGGCCTCACCACAGACACATACTACCTCTGGTTAATAGTTTTATCATTCTATAGTTATTAAGGGTTAATTTTTTGCTTTGGCAATGTGAAATATTATCTGCATACGTTTTAAAGCAGATTTTTAAATTGAGCTTTCTTTTAAAAATTCTTTTCTAGTTTATGGGGATGTAGAAACTGTGATGGCTAATTTCTCTATTATGCTCCGTAATCAGTTAACTTCTATGCCGATAGATTGTGATGATGCAAGGCATAAAATTGGGTAAGTCATTACA